AAATGATGTGCGAAGTGATGCCAACGATAAATGAGGACACCCCAATGAGTCAAAGGGGGTCCCAGAGCAGTGGGTCGGACTCGGATTCTCACTTTGAACAGCTCATGGTGAATATGTTAGATGAAAGGGATCGTCTCCTGGACACACTCCGAGAGACACAGGAAAGTCTGTCTCTGGCACAACAGCGCCTTCAGGATGTCATCTATGACAGAGACTCTCTCCAGCGACAGCTCAACTCTGCATTGCCCCAGGTATGCTGGATGTCAACAGTTTTTCTGTAACTGTAGCTCTTTGTTCTTCAGCATATAAACTCAAATTGATAATATACACCTTTCTTAAAGATCTAGTCCTGCAATTCTACAATCCAGTTAAAGTAGTTATACAGAACTTTTTATGTATTCTCACCATCTCACTGTTTTTATGTTGTCATCATCAGATTTAATTATTGGTATTCAGTATGACTAGAATTCTGTTTACTGATAAAGTGGAAACAAGGTTGTGAAACTTGCAGATGAGTTTCTATTTCATGCCAAAAGTCATATGCCCTTCACCCAGAGCTCTATAGGTGCCTGAATATGGTACTGGAGCTACTATGTACTTTACCTTTTCCTCTCTTATTCCAGTGGAAAGGAATGCATGGCTCTTGCATCTCCTAGCATGCATGAAGCTATCCTTACATTTTAGGATGAATTATCAAAACCTCATAGATGAGATTGGCTGGACTTCAGATTTGCTTAATTTAGAGATGGGTGGATATGCAAAGGCTGCTGCATATCATTTTCTTAAAATGGAAGGGTGTAAGAAGAAGGAAGACACATGCCTATTCATTGAAATATTTGTGCAGTGCCTTTCATTCTGTTGGAAATCATTGCAGTATACAATGCAAAATCCATTGCAATAAAAGATGAAAAATAGCAACAAAAACTAAGCAAATCGATTGCAGATACTTCTAAGGGAAGCTATGCTTTTGTGTGAACACAGTGAGGTATATAATAGCTTGATATAGCTTGATATAAGAGACTCTCTGGTGCAAGGTGACTTATTGACACATGGGGTGGACACTTTTGCCATGGCATGGCATGTAGAAAAGCAATTTTAGCATACACATTGTACTAAGTCAGAGCGGAGCAAAGTGCACTGATAGCTACCCTTTACCATCCCATAGTTTATATTATTCATGCTATTTTGCCAAGAATTGTCCAGCAAATGACCAAACAAATCATACTTTGTTTTCCCAATACCTGTTCTATTATTATTCAATCCCTTTTGTCAGTATATTTCTTTTAGTGTTGGTATCTGGTGAAGCAAGTAAAGACAAAGTCATAGTTCTTGGTTTAGACATAGCAACAAAATATGGTTTAAGGAAGCCAGAATTTTCAAGACAGCCATTACGCATGGCTTCTATCTGTGGCTTGTGAACAGCTAAAAAACATGGTTTGTTAAAATAGATATAGATTTGGACAGTGAGCTAAATTTCAACCAACCACAGTGTGACTTATCAATGCAAAATGGGCCCATATTTTTATTCCAGCATGACAAACTGGTTCTGCTTGAAGCTCTCCATACTTACTGATGAGATGAGAATTTGGTTAGACTGTGCATCCTGCATTCCTCTCCCAAGATGTATGGCCCAAAATTAGAGACGGATCAATTTCTCAAAAATGGGGTGTGGTTAGATTTTAGAGATTGAAATGTAAGTTATGTTTAAGGATGTTTATTAAAATATTTCCTAAAATTTATGCAAACATCTGCCAGTGTCCAGTTCTGGTGAAATGTACTGAAATAAATCAGAAGCAGCAGCAGAACAAGATGCAACAACTGTGAACTGTTCACCTAAGTCTATCTGGAATGGAGTTAGGGTTGCCAGAACTGCAACATTCTATTCTGTCTTTTATTCATCTGCTGTAAGATCAGAATTCTTTAAGATTGTGAACTGGTTTATCAGATGAGGCCCTTGTAATAAATTCACTTTTCAATTTCTCTGGACTTAGCAGTAGCTTATAGAAGTTTCCCATCCAAAATTGCAAAGTCTTGTTCTCAGTGGCTGTTCTATTATTATGTAACAAGGGATCCCGACCAAGCAGGGTAAAGTTTGATGAATCTGGGAGAATACAGAGAGTCTCTCCAGATTACTACATGAAGATTAGGAAGCTGCTGGTGTTAGCACTGGGTCGTTATGGAGGGGTTTCAAATGAAGAAAAAGAAGTAAATCCTTCCTTGTTTAATAATAAAGCACATTTCCTCCCTCTATAAAAAAAATCTAAAAATATAAGAAAAGTCATGCTGGATCAGAGGAAAAACACCTCTAATGAAGCATTTTGTTCCTACAGTGGCTTCTATGGAAAGTTTTTATGACAGATGATGATGATGATGATGATGATGATGATGATGATGATGATGATGATGATGATGATGATGATGATGATGATGATGATGATTATTATTATAGATCAGAGATTAGATTAGGCATCCTTCAGTCTTGAGAGACTATGGTAATGTGTTCTGAATAGAGGACTTGGAACAGCATCTAGTGTGGCTGAGAAGGCCAATTTGAGAGTGACAATCCCTTCCACACTGAAGACAAATACAATCTGTCCCCTGTCCAGCTCCCTGATTTTGCTGGTTTCGGGACTGCCTCTTTGCCTCGGCCTGCTGAACAAGTGTCTCTTCAAAATGGGAGAGTCCATGATGCACCGCCTGCTTCCAGGCTGAACACTCAGATGTCAAAGTTTCCCATCTGTTGAGGCCCATTCCTAAGGCCTTCAGATCCCACTTGCAGATATCCTTGTATTGCAGCTGTGGTCTCCCTATGGGGCGCTTTCCCTGCACTAATTCTCTGTACAGGATTTCTTTTGGAATCCGGCCATCAGCCATTCTCACAACATGCCCAAGCCAATGTAGACATCGCTGTTTCAGTAATGTATACATGCTAAAATTTCCGGCTCATTCTATGACTACTCTATTTGGAAATTTGTCCTGCCAGGTGATACCAATAATGTGTCCAAGACAACGCATATGAAACATGTTCAGCTTCCTCTGCTGCTGTGCACAAAGGGTCCAGGACTCACTGCAGTGCAGGAGTGTACTCAGGACACAGGCTCTATAGACCTGGACCTTGGTATATGCCATCAGCTTCTTATTAAGCCATAACCTCTTTGTGAGTCTAGAGAGCATGGTAGCTGCTTTGCCAATGTGTTTATCCCGCTCGACATCTAGGGAGAAAGTGTCAGATATCATTGAGCCAAGGTACACAAAGTCATGAACAAATTCCAATTCTTGTGTGGAGATAGTAATAAAGGGAGGTGAGTCCACACCCTGACCCATGACTTGTGTTTTCTTCAGGCTCATTGTTAGTCCAAAGTCTTGGCAGGCCTTGCTAAAATGATTCATGAGTTGTTGGAGGTCTTCAGCAGAATGGGCAACAACAGCTGCATCATTGGCGAAGAAGAAGTCCCGCAAGCATTTCAGCTGGTCTTTGGTCTTTGCTCTCTATCTACAGATATTAAAGAGATTTCCATCTGATCTAGTCCGGAGATAGACACTTTCTGTTGCAGGTCCAAACTGCAATACAGGCAAGCAGCTTCCCTACAACACTGAGAAGAGAGATGCCATGGTAGTTATTGCAGTCGCCCCTGTTGCCTTTGTTCTTGTACAATGTGATGATCTTTGCATTGTTTATGTCCTGTGGTACTGCACCTTCCCTCCAGCAAAGACAAAAGATTTAATACAGCTCAGTGTTGATGATCTCTTTACAGCACTTCAGCAGGGATGTTATCCTTCCCAGGTGCCTTGCAGGAGGTGAGAGAAACCAAGGCCGCTTTTATTTCTGCTAAATTTGGTTTGCTGTCCAACTCTTCCAAGACAGGCAGGCACTTAATGTTATTTAATGCTTCTTTGGTTATTACATTCTCTCTGGAATATAGCTCAGAGTAGTGCTGCACCCAGCGTTCCATCTGCTGTGCTCAGTCCTGGATGATCATGCCTGTAGCAGACTTCTAGGGAGCAGATTTCCTCTGTATTGGACCTAAAGCCTGCTTGATACCGTCATACATTCCCTTGATGTTACCTGTGTCCGCTGCTATCTGTATTTGAGTGCAGAAATGAAGCCAGTAATCGTTGAAACATTTCCTGGCAGCCTGTTGGACTTTGCTACAAGCAAGTCGAAGAGCCTGCAATTTGTACTCACTAGGACAGGCTTTGTATGCTGCTAGAGCTCCCCTCTTTTCCTCGATGGCTGGCATCAATTCCCCTGAGTGGGCTTTGAAGCAGTCTGCTGTCTTTTTTGTTTTCTTGCCAAATGTGGACAAGGCGATATTATAAACAGCATTCTTGAAATGTTCCCATTGTTCAAGTGCATTTGCATCAGCTGGGTCTGGAAGAGTTTCCTCAAGCGCTTGAGCAATTCCTCCACTTTTCTCTGATCACGGGTCTTGCTGATGTCAATACATGGTCTTCCTTTTTCCTGTGATACAATCTCTTTATTCATAGTTTTACTGTGCTACACACCAGGAAGTGATCAGTATCACAATCAACATTCTGGTAACGTGTGCTCATAATACTAGGAAGGCTACAACGTCTAGTAAGGATCAAATCGAGCTGATGCCAATGCTTCAATCTTGGATGTCCCGAGGAAACTCTGTGTTGAAGCTTCATATTAATGAACATGTTGCTGACACAAAGACCATAGTAACAGGAAAACTACAACAAGCATTGGCCATTTATCTTCCCAGTGCCAAAACAGCCTAGATGAAGAATTGTGATCAGCACCAATTTAGCATGAAAGTCTCTGAGAATGATCAGCAGCTTGCTCTCAGGGATTTTATTGATAGTAGCTGCTAGATCCTCATAGAATTTGTCTTTGACTTCTGTTGTAGATGACAGTGTTGGTGTATATGCACTAATGAAGGTGACTGGTCCCATTGATCAGTGGCGCTGCAGAGACAGGATTCTTTTATTCCCAACAGTAGGTTGAACAATGGATCTCAGCAGAGTATTTCTGACCACAAAGCCAACACCATATTCCCTGGTCTCATTCAATGGTTTTCCCTGACAGAAGGATGAGAATTTTTTTTCTTTGACAGATACTATGTCTGGCAATCTTGTCTCTTGTAGGGCAACAATGTCCATCTTCAGCCTACTCAGTTCCATGTCAAAGCTCTTTTGAGCATGTCATCTATTTCCTGCAGGTCTTCAGAAAAGCCAGGGGTCATTGTCTGAACATTCCAGGTGCCCAGCTTTAGGACAGAAGTTT